AATGCTGGGCTTGAACTCACAACCCTGAGATCAAGACCTGAGCTGAGATCAAGAGTCAGATGCTTAACTGACTGAGCCAGCCAGGTGCCCCTCAAACATTTTTTAGAATTCAATTTTAATTTATCTGTAGGGTTTGGACTGTATCTCTTTGTATAGCTTTTTTAGTCGTTGCTCTAGGAATTCCATTATAGGTATATCACTTAATATAGTCAGCTAGTGTTGTCATTTTACCAGTTTGCACAGGGTATAACAACACTGACTCCCGGGGCGCCTGGGTGGCTCAGTCATTAAGTGGCTGCCTTTGGCTCAGGACATGATCCCGGGGTCCTGCGATCGAGCCCTGCATCGGGCTCCCTGCTCAGCGGGAAGCCTGCTTCTCCCTCTCCCACTCCCCCTGCTTGTGTTCCCTCTCTTGCTGTCTTTCTCTGTCAAATAAATAAATAATATCTTTAGAAAACAAACAAACAAAATTAACTCCCTTTATGTACCCTTGCTCTCCCCTGTTAATGACTTAATTGTCTTTAATATTTCCAAATCACACTCACCTCAGACAGTGTGTTACAATAGGACCATATCAGACAGTGTTTGCATTTTTGCTTCCACCATCAAACATAATTTAGAAAACTCAGGAGGAGGAGGAAAGTCTATTATATTTACCCATGGTTTTGCTTACCATGTTCTTCCTACTTAATATCCAAGATTTCTTTTATTGTTTCCTTTCTATTCAAAGAACTTCCTTTAGCCATTCCTTTAGGTAAGTCAGCTGGCAATAAATTCTCTTCATCTCCCTCATCTGAAAATGTCTTGATTTTCTCTTCCACAGGGGTGGTGATGAATGTCCTGACTCTCTGATCCCACCCAAGCAGGTAGGGAGAGAGGTTTCTCATTACATTGGGGGTGGTTGAAGCCTCCACATATTCTTCACTGACACCAGAGGAGTTGGGTAGGTGAGAGACACAGCAGGGGCTCATTGATACCTGGCAAAGACGAAAGTCTAGGCCCCCAACTCAACCTTTGCTGGCAGGGGTAAGAGTGAGGTTATTTGTCTTTTGTTTTGTTCTGTGGTGTTGGCTGGAGTAGAATAGTTATTGCCTGAAATTCATCTGTCAGGCTGCCTCTTTGTGGTCTATTATCTAAAGAGAGCAGAATTTTATTGAGTTTTGTGGTCTGTGCTCATTGGTATTTCTAGGTACAGCTTTCCCAACACCCAATCTAGTACATATAAGGCCTAAAGAAAATCCAAGGAACTCACAACCATGTCATTATTTGGGTCCTGAGATCTCTAACCTTCTTTTATCCACTCTTTTAGACTCAGGTAGGTTGGTTTTATATGTAATGGATTAAATAATCCAGTCAAAAGGCAGAGATTATCAGACTGGATAAATTAAAAAAAAAAAAAAACAAGGTCCAACTATAGGCTGTCTACAAGAGACACATTTTAGATTAAAAAATTTGAACAAGTTGAAAGTAGTATGGAAAAAGATGTGTCATGGTAAAGAGCAACCATAACAAACCAAGAGTGGCTATACTAATATAAGACGAAATAAACTTTAAAAAATTGTTACTAGAAATAAAAATCATTTGGTAATGATAAAAGGGTCAATCTATCGAAAGATTATAGCAATTTTAAGCATATATGCATCTAAAAACAGAGCCCCCAAACACATGAAGCAAAGTGTGACAGATTCAAGGGTAGAAATAGATAGTTCAATGATAATAGTCAGAGATCACAACTCCATACTTTAAGTATTGGATAGAACAACTAGGAATAGAAGACTTGAATAACACCATAAACCAATTAGATCTACCAAACATCTTTTGAACATTCTATCCAATAATAGCAAAATACATATTCCCCAGAAGTGCACATGGAGCATTCTCCAGGACAGACACATGCTAGGCTGTCCTAATTCATGCTACAGTATGATGAACCTTGAAAACATTAAGTTAAAGAAGCCAATCACAAAGGACCACATATTGTGGGATTCCATTTGTATGGAATGTCCAGAATAGGCAAATCTACAGAGCCAGAAAGTAGCTTAGTGGTTGTCTAGGGCTGAGGAGAGAATGGGGGAATTGGAGAGTTATCGCTAAGGGGTATGGGTTTCTTTTTGTAGTAATAAAAATGTTCTAAAATTGATTATAGTGGTGGGTGCACAACTTTGTGAAATACTAAAAACCATTGAGTTGTACACCTGAAGTTGGTAAATTTCATGGTATGTGAATTGTGTCTCAATAAAGCTGTTTTAAAAATGTATGGTTTTACAGTGTCTAACTTCAACATAGTGCTTGAATGCTTGCACTAACTGAACATTGCTAACAAAACAGACTGAAATCCAAGAGAAAATGCAGGCTGGTTTCTACTTTGATGCATTCACATGTAGGGGAAATGAGGAATCAAACTTCTCAATGGCTGCAGTAGTCAGTCTCTAAGGAGCCCCTAATTGTTCTTGTCTCCTGGTATTCACACTGTTGTATAGTCCCTTCCCAGATTATACCAGGGTTGGTTGTGTGACCAATAGAAAATGGCAGCAATTATGGTATGTCACTTCCACAATTAAGTCACAAGACTTTGTGGTTTCCATTTGAGTTTTTACACTTCAGTTGGATAAAAGAAAATAAAAAGAAGCAGCACTGTGGTATTTGGACTCTTTGGACTTCCCCTTCAGTCATTTCTCATTCTTTTGCCTTATTATTTGACTATTAGGGGCAAATAAATTCTGATAAACTAATCAGGAGGCCTGATGTTCTATAATACTTTTCAGCATTATGCACTGAAAGCCATTTGGAAGGTTTTGCCTAAAAATTCCATCCAAAGGATTACAATTGGTATGTAGAAACCGACCAGTGAAATGAAAGAGAAAAACCTGCTCCTACCATTACACATGCATGCTTATGTTGATAAAATCATGGAGTAGCCTTGTCCAAGACTAATATACCTAATACAATAGGTGGAGAAATTGTACTTTTAATGATATACTTTTTCCAAGAAAAAAGGTGCCAAAGAGTTGAGTAATTCTGGAGGCTTGTTAGTTACTTACAGGTAGGAAAGTGTCCACTCCCTTCTATTCTGTTCCACCCAAGTCCATTTTCACAGTGATCTTAACTACATAAAAGCTAAACAAATATTTACCCAGAAGTAAAACAGTAGTCATGTCAGGGACCATAATAATTCGCAGTTAAAGTATTTAACTCATCAAAGGAGATCCTGGTAAAGAAAAGGCCTGAGAAAGAAGTGGTCTACACAATTCCAGATACTCGTATGAAATTTTTTAAAAAAAGGACAATTATCCATTTACATGTTCTGAATCATATGAATTCAGCAAAAGCCAATGAGCTTCTGAAAGCCCCTACTTGCTTTGCACTATTTGCTCACCTTCAAGTGTATGACCTAGTAAGAATAAATAAAGTGTGAGTAATGGGTAGCCACAGTAAATTCCTTTCTACTGGATGTTAGTGATACAGATGTTAATGGTAGATTCATTCTTTAAATCATCTAATAAATATTTATGAGCACTTGTTATCACGGATATGTCTCAAATTTTGGCCCCTCTAGCATTTATTACCAAATTTTAAGGCATAACAGGCTATACTTTCAGGAATTTTCCCTAGAAAATTTTACCTTCATAAATGTTATTAATGATTTGGGTCAATTTACATCGTACATAAGTCCGAATGCCTTTTTTTCAAAGGGGGAAGTAATTTAACCTTACATTTTGTAGTCAAACTACTCTGTAAAAAGCAATTCATTTTTGTCCTGCAACATAAAAGAAAGACTTAAAACACTGTTATTGACAACAGTAATTCTTTTATACAAACTGTTCTGAATCTTACTTCCAAATTTAGAACACATACACATTAGGAAATTTATTTCTAATAGTAAGCGTATTATTTTTTAAAGGGTAATTCTGCACTTTGCATATTGTCTTGTATTTTTCTGTCAAGTACTAACCAACTGTAACTACATATTTATTTGAATGGTCTTTGATTTAATGATGATTTTACCGACTAGACCTAAACGCCATGTTGAAGATAAGGACCATGACTCAAGATAACCACTGTATCCTTGAGGCTTATACAAGTTCCTGGCATGTAGTTGATGTTCAAAATATTTTGGTTGAATGAGTGAATGAATGAAAGACCCTAACAGTAGATAATATTATGGAACAGATCGGTGGTTTAGAAGGATTTGTTCATAATCTAAATGAAATATGTAGAAAAATTTTTAAATGAAGGTAAAAAATATAAATTCGCCTAAGGGAGCTATTCCAAGTGACTTTCTAGTCAGGATGTGCCCTGCCCTTGGCTCTTGAACCTGAGTGTGCCGGTTCATACATGCAAATGAGCTTGTTCTGGCCCTGAGGCAGTGTGAGCCAGGCTGCAAAGTTCATGCTGTGACAGTGAGTCAGCACCATGAACACTACGGACTCACTGCTTACAAGGCAGCCTGTTGGGCCTATCACAAAATGAATAGTGGCACAGTGGTTTCTAGTTAATACGGCATGGCTCCCTTCTGTTGATAGCACCACACCACTCTTCCATAGAAACTCAACTACTGAGACAAAGCAGCCCCTACTCCAAGTGCTGTAGCACACTAATGAATTTCCCATTATGGAAAGAAGGCTGGGAAGAGCAAGTTGACCATTAGCCACAGCCACAGAAGCCAAGAAACAGAAAGGAGTTAAGAAACTAAAAGAAGTCTTGCATAGTATACTGGTAGTGTCCATCCTCAAGCCTATAGTCTATCAAGTGCTTAAATTTGGGTGACACATTTAATGGATAATTTCCAATTCTGTTTTTTTGTTAGGATTTAAAAACCTGGTAAGATAGGAAGAACCTCAGGGCACAGTAATTTGCAGAAATATGGGTTAAATTTATGTTTCTGTTCGCTCTGTGTTGGATATCACTCCAGTTCAGCTAATAAAATCCCATTTACACATTTTGAGTTACAATTTAATATATGAGCAAAAAAAGTAAAAAATAAAAAAAAAGCAGCTTACCCACACTGAGTTCCATTTGTCACATTCTGGTTAAGGGAGCTGTTGAGCCATACTATAGTGTTGTTCACACATGCTTTTCCAGGGATCTTGAGTTGTTGTAATTCAGTGTCATATTCAATAAAAACATCTGTCATTGTGCCAAAAATGAGCAGCACGCCTGGATGGGATAGTCCATGGAGAAATGCACATAAACTTCCCACAAACATCAGCCAAATGTCAGTCGTTGAAGAGAACCGAAACTTGAAAAACAAAGGATTCAGAGATCATCTATGGTGAAAAGCAGGAGAAGTAGGACTATTTAATTTTAGTTACTAGATTCTGATAAATAGCATTCAGCACCAAATTTTATTAGAATCATCTTCATTGAAAAGTAGAGTTTTCACTAATTATATCAACATAAATGGTATATCGGGGGACCTGGGTGGCCCAGTTGGTTAAGCATCTGTCTTCGGCTCAGGTCATGATCCCAGGGTTCTGGGAACAAGCCCCACATTGGTCTCTCTGCTTAGTGGGGAGTCTGTTTACCCTCTGTCTCTCCCTCTGTGATCTCTCTCACTTTTGCTCTCTCTCAAATAAATAAAATCTCTTTTTAAAAAAAGTCATATATCAATTATCTAAAACACTAGACTCTTACATTGCTAGTTTATGTTATTTCTTTCCTAGTCTCTGAATTCATTCTCTTTACCTCAAGAACTGACTTCAGGTCTTAGCCATTGATTCACAACTTCAGTGGGAAGTGGTCACTGGCATTGATGCCATTGCTGTGTAGAAAGACTGTGTGAAGCATTCAGCAATAGCATGAATTTATCCCAGAACTGATATTGACAAACAAGAGTGACTATTCGTGCCTAGAGATGCCTCTACCTTGTGAAAATTTGGGGAAAATACCACACTATGGAATTTCCAAAGATATGTCATAAGGATAAATATACATCATATGATTACTGTGATGATTTTCTTTACTAAAATAATTATGGGCTTAGTGATTATTTTCCAGGACACATTTCTAATCTATCAGATAGGATTTATGTGTTTAATATTATTTTATTTATTTATTTATTTATTTATTTATTTATTTAGCGGTGGGGAGAGAGAGAGTGGGGAGGGACAGAGGGAGAGGGAGAGAGAGAATCTTAAGCAGGCTCCACACCCAGTGTGGAACCCAACACAGGGCTCAATCTCACAACCCTGAGATCATGACCTGAGCTGAAATCAAGAGTTGGATGCTTAACCAACTGAGAAACCCAGGCGCCCCAGGATTTATGTTTAATTACCAATATACTCTAACCATTTAGCATGTTATTACATAAAGTTTCTGACCGAAAAAGTGAACAGTGTACTTAAAAACCTGCCAGTGACTAAAGATTTAACACTCCCTCCATGATCTGAACAATTTGCAGTTGCAAAATTTATGTCAAAAATCAGCACAGTTTTATTACCAATTGAAAGAAGCCAACTGGACTGCTGTCACCTTTCCTCTCATCTTGTAACCTGAGGAGAAAAACATATGGATTTATAGACCATTCTTTCCAAAACAAAGAGAAATTCTCCCTGGGTAAGAATTTTATGAGTCATCCTTCAGTGAGAAATAAAGTCCCCACTGACTGAGAAATTCTTGCCAAACCTGGCATCCTAAAAACAAGCTCTTATTTTTCAGATTTACCTCTTCCAGAGATTTCAGTATAGCTATATGTCATGTTCAGCAGAGATTCAGTGAAGTTTTTCTGAGAGGTATTGAAAGAAAATAAAAAGTGCTCTGTACTCCCAGTTATTCTAACATAAAACTGTTGGACCTCAGCCTTGACCCTCAACCTGTTTCTGTTTACATTTCATTGTAATGTAACTTGAGGTGGTTGGATTAGCTGATTTAAAGCTTCCTTCTAGCACTTAAAAATCTTACAAATACATTAAATAGTATTGATATGATGGGAAAGTTTTAAGAACTCCCATACTTCCCATAAAATTGTATTTCCTTAGTATTTCTTACTCATTTCATGTCTCATAAAGTTGTATCTAACCCATCTTTGACCGTCTCCACTCCAGGGATCTCTACTTCACCTGAGTCATCCATTCATGGAAACACCCTGGACCTTTCTTTCACCAGAAACTACTCCGTTGGCATTCTGGGACAGCCTATGCAGCCTGTTTTGTCACTTCCTTCCTCCTTCTACACCTGTTTGTCATCTTAGTTGAGATCTGCAGTCCTTTAAACCCTCGTTAATTTCCAAATGGTAAAACCCCATCAAGATTGTGCTTCCTTCCCCATGCCTCCCAGATCCCACACCAGCCATTTGGACTACATTCTTACCATCATCCTTAATCCTTTTCCCCACTACATCTTTGGAAACTCCATCTCTGCCTCCATGCAGCTGTTTGCCCCTGTCCTCCCAAAGCCAGGCTGTGGGGCCTGCTGGAGACAAGCTCTCCACCATGTGAACTGATGCCAACACATGCCATGCCTGACAGTCAGCTGCCCTAAGCTTCCCCTCCAGCTCAGAGTAGAATCCCAAGTCCTTGCTGAGATGCCCAAGGCCCTCCACGGTCTGGCCAATTGGCTCTCTGACCTTGTCTCCTCCTACTGCACTCCAATTCTCAGCACCCGAGCCACTTGGCCTCTTTGCTGACCTTTGTTCAGGTCAAATTTATTCTCACTTCTGACCATTTGCACTTGCTGTTTCCTCTCGCCAGAATGCTCTTTCTTCAGATACCTGCATGACCAACCCCCTCATCTCCTTCAGACTTTCCCTCATAAGTCACCTTCTCAATGGGACCTTCCCTGGCCAAAGCCTTTAAAATTTCAGCTTTCTCCCCACATCATTCCATATCTCCATTCCATGTTTGCTTTTTTTCTTCTTAGAAAGAAAGTGATAGATTATTACTAGCTACCATGCTATATATTGTATTTATTTTTGGTGCATATTATGTCACCCTCACTAAAATGTAAACTCCTCAAGGACAGATATATTGGCTCATTTTGTTCTTTTCTGTATCCTAAGCACTTTAATAGTGCCTGACATCTGGTAGGCACTTAATTAATATTTGTGAAATGAATGGATGCATGAATGAATGAATGAATGAGTATGATCTCCAGTCTTAGCTCAATCTACAGTGCTGTACTTCATCTGTCTACAGATTGTTCCATTTCCCTCCACAGCTTTCTCAAACTTTCACCATGATCTTCTCATTCTACATTACCACATGTATCAGAAGATGGATTCATCTCCTCTAAAAACTGAAGAATTCACTCAAACTTCCTATTCATTCTCTCATTGCCATTCATCTACACCCACACCTATTTTCATCTTTTTTCTACCCAGTGAGAAACGCGTGGTTCTTCTAGGCCCAGGCTGACCCTAGCACTCTACTTACTTAGAATTTCCTATGTAATTACTTAGAATTTCCTATATAACTTCAACCTCTGCCTTCCTACCACCTCTTTCTAGGAACTTGCCTGGTGCCTGCCTTCTGTCTTCTCAGATTACTCTGTCTAGTCCTACTTTTATACCAGTGTATGATTAACTGACATTTTTATATGAGGATTTAAACTCTCAAACTAAAGAGAAGTATCTAATAATTAAATTTTAGGGTTCTAGTATTTGTCTGTGGGAAGAATTTGAGGTTTATGGATCTCCCCTGTGCTCATGAAATCATACTTGTTCAACTTTTCCTCTGCCCATATAGGTTAGAAATTCTGTGTGTTGCTGGATACACGGAGGAGATTTGGACTCAATACAGAAGGAATATTTCAAAAGGTTTTTGAAATCAAATTACAGCAATGTTTTAAAGAGAAAAGGAATGGATTACCTATGCCATTTTATAGGAAGTACAAGATGCATGAAAATATTATTTCTGCTTTGTGCCTTTAAAAGGAATATTAAGGAGTTATTCTAGAAAAGATGATGTATTGTTAAAATAGTCACTTACCTTGAATTCTTATCATTGTTATCTGTCAGGATAAAAACAATGCACAAAGCAGTTAGTAATGACAAAACAACATAATCATTAACAATTTTGCTCCAGGAAAACATTCCCATAAATTAGCTTTATTCATGGAACACAGCAAAATGACTATTTGCCTTTTTCTCCTTTTTTTTCATTCTCTCTCTCTCTGTGTCTCTCATTACACAAGAAAACACTCTGTCAGGTTCAGGACTGCTAGCTTGACTACATTTTTCAATATTTCCACAGGATATGAGATATTTGTATTTTCTGGATGTCAGCTGGAGATCAACATTTTTATATTAGCTGAAGAAAATCTAATTTTTTTAACTACTGAGTAAAATGAGTATTTATTGTTTTGTTCCTTGGAGAGATCAGAATTTATCTGTTTAAAATTGAGACTACAAATTAACTAGACAATAAGATGGTGATGACACTCCCATGCCAGGAGAAACCACAGGATTGAGCTGGATATGATTTTCCCCAGCATAGATGAGAGCAAAAGGAGGGTAGGAAGTGAAAGTGGAGGTGCAGGGTCATGGGTATAGGGAAGAAACAGGGAAGGGAATTTCATGGTGCTAATGTCAACCAACGCCATGGAACAACACATCCCGATTCCCTGCCATTTTAATTCATTTAATTTAAGTAAGTGTAAAGAGACTTTATAGTACAGATAGAGATTAAACATCTTGGGTTTGGGAATCAGAACTGGATTAGGATGATGGCTCCATTAATTATTGGTTATGTAATCTTTGTCAAGTTTTAAAAAATTTATTCAAGTCTCATTTTTTCTTCTGTAAGTTGTAAAATCATAGGATTTGTTTAAAAAACTAATAATTGCAGGGCACCTGGGTGGCTCAATCAGTTAAGCGTCCGACTCTTGGTTTAGGCTCAGGTCATGGTCTCAGGATCCTGAGATGGAGCCCCCTCAGTTGGGCTCCCCCTCAGCACTCAGTGAGGAGTCTGCTTCCCCTGTGTTTTCCCTCTGCCCCTCCCCCTGCTTCGGCACTCTCTCTCCCTCCCTCAAATAAGTAAATAAATCTTTAAAAAATAATAATAATAATAATAATTGCTTGGAATCACTTGTGCTCACTAGATGTTAGGTCCTCTTTCCCATTATCTCATTATGGCCAGCATAGTCTTGGTAGTTTCTCACTAAATAATTACTACTATAATCAATTATAACAATCGATGGATAAAGGCAATAATAATAACAATGCTGGATATTTATAGATGAGATACTTTCATTCACCCACACTTTGTGCGTTTTTTTTTTCCTAGGTTCTTAATTTATTGTACAGGTTGAGAATTACACGATGAGGTGACATTAGCTTCTCCAGGCATGGGAACTTAACAGGTAAGGTACAGTTTAAAAATCCATTTATGCTGCTTTCACAGCTGGTGCTTTTTTAGATCTTAATTTGAAGTATAAGACCATCAAAGAAATGCCTCCATATGTAGCCAGTACATAATTCATTCTACCTGTGAGAGTATAAGAGTTGAAACATGTTTTGATATCAGTGAAATGGAATTGGGCATTAATTTCTGCACCTGCCATGATTTCAGTCTTGCAAAAGGTAACCAGTTCCACTGGCTGTGTCCTTCAGTGTACGCAGCCACCCCGCATTCACCCACACATCATGTGTTTTTCCTATCATTTTCAAACATTCCATTACATTGATTCTGGAGAGAACCACCCATTTGTGGGTAAGAAATGCATCCAGTAATTGTTCTCCATATTATTGTTGGTTTTCTTCTGCCCCTTGAAAGTTCACTAGCTTGTCTAACCTCTTTTTATATGAGACAGTAAGAGGAAAAAGGCCACTTACAGAATCTTTCTGACTCTAAACCATAATTGTCCTCTCCAAATTTCTTCACACTGCGAAGAATTACTGAGTCAGACATGGTGACTGCAATCTGCAGTCAATAACCCTATAAAATAAAATAACCATTGCAATTATTTCTTTTCTCTTCTTTAAACAAAGTAGTCAAATGAAAGAACAGTTTGGTACAAGAAATAACTTTAACAATTTTAATCTTCACTAAAAAGCAGATTTTTTAATTGGTCAATAACTCCATGAGTCTAATTATTAGGAAAGATAAAGCCAAACCATTGATACGGCTTTCTCTAGTTGATGAATGGATAGTTACTTTTTATTTGTTTGTCCTTTCTGCTTGTCTATCCTACCATCCTTCCTTCCATCCTCCCTTCCTTCCATCCTCCCTTCCATCCTTCCTTCCTTCCCTCCTTTCATGAGTAAAAATAAAAACCACTAGAGCTGCACAATCAACTGGTGACATTCTTGGGTCAGTGTCTGGAAGGACGACACTTAACACTGGTGAGTAACCTGCAGTGCTCCTTTGTAAATGCATCTTCAAGACTGAGGATATGCTGAGTCCCACGTGGACCAGGGGAAGAGCTATTCAACTCATTTTATAAAACAAGTATAACCTTGACATTGAAACAAACAAGAATGTTATAAGAAAAAATAAGAGTTATAATTACTTTTTGAAAATAGATTTAAAATTGCTACATACATTAAGTATAATTCAGCAGTTTATGAACAAAATATAATGAGCAATGTTGATCCCAGAATGCAATAATCATTTACTGAAAAATTTGATCATTTTGATAGATGCAAAAAAGGTATTCAATAAAAATCAGTATCCATTGCTGATTTCTAAAACCCCATAAAATTAGAGAAATCATTATCTACAACTCCAATGAATAGATTTTGGGTAATGATCAGCAACGAATGCTAAAACCATTCGCTGAAATCCTGGCAAAGATTCAATATCTGGTAATACAAAGTATTGCAAAGATGTAGAGGGAAAACATTATATTAAGGCATTATATCTCCTTAAGCTCCTCTTGGCTCTCACCATTTCTCAGACGTTCCTTGTTTTTGATGACCTTGACAGTTTTGAGGAGTATTGAGCAGTTATTTTGTAGAATGTCCCCTAAAATGGGACTTATCTGATATTTTTCTCAGGACTTTTCTCAGGAATAGACAGGCGTTGTATATTTTGGGGAGGAAAACCACAGAGGTAAAGTACCCTTCTCATTACATCTTATCAAAGGAACTATCAACATAATAGTACCAATCAACATGATTTATAAAAAATAAATTTTAAAAAATAAACTCAATATTAAGAAGTAGAGTGAGAAATATCATTTCATTAAGCAATTTAGGAGGTCAGTAAAATTTTAAAAAGAACATCAACTAGATTCAAAATTTTTTTATTCAACAACAAAATTTATTCACTATAGCAGTATTACATTCACAGAATGCAATGCTCTCGGGTTATATCATTTTTGAAATTTTAACCAAAAATTTATTTTTCAAAAGGAAAAGAAATACTTGGATAATGAGAAAATAAGAATACTTTAACAATAGTTGTACTATTACATCTAATTTTAAAAGAAGACTTTTTAAAAAATTCAGTATTCAATGGTTTTTTTTCCTGGCTTAGCTCCTCATTTAAAAAAGGTTTCTTTCCACTGGTGTGCAAATATTTGACAGCACTTAGAGGCCAGTGGTGTAGTGTCTTGTCCATGAACTTCAGAGTCTCACAGACCCTCTGGCTTCTCTCCATGTTGTTGCATATGTTTTTTAACCTCTCTCCAGGCCCTGGATTCTCCATCATTCAAGTCAAATCTGCCTTGCAGGACTAGTGTGAGAATGACATGAAACTGTGTCTGCACATCAGTTGGCAAAAAGGGAGAAAACGGCTAACATTCCTTTTGGGGCTTCAAGCCTAGAAACTGTCTTCCTACCCCTCCCTCTGGGGTCACTTGCAGTAACTCACCCTCTATCAAGGGTGACTGATGATCAACCAACCTACTCTCTTCATTTTCCCTCTCTGTGCCCTCCACAATTCTGTACACTTGCTTTCACACTGGGTTTGCTTACATTTCGCTTCTTTCTGAATGCAATGATTTTTGGGATCTCTATTTTACTATTAAAGAGTAATATTCTCAAACAAAAAAATTCATCTATAACATGGATTTCCATCCCCGTAGCATTGACAGTGCCCTTCAGCCAAAGACCACTGGGAGCACAACTGTAGTTGAACAATCTGGATTTGTTACTTATTGCAGTGAGGAAGAACATGTGGTGGAGATCATGGGGGCCTCAGTAAGAGGGTGTTAGAAAGAACATCTTTATAGGAATTGGACTTCAGTTAGGTGATTTGGGAGAGGATCCAAGAAAGTGGGGGTTTGCTCCAAATTGGATGCTGTCAGAAAACCAGAGCAATTTCATGATTGGGTGCAGAAACAGTCACTCATAGCAAGAGAGAGGGATGTTTGGTATTTTTGGGGATTGCACAACGACCTTGTTTTTGCCTGTGCCTGGGCAAAATTATGGACTGGACTTGCTTTGTTTCATTTTTATCCTGGTTTCAGAGTGAGTTTGTCTGAGGTTGGTGGGATGGTTAATTTTATGTATCAATTTGAGTGACCTAAGGGATGCCCAGATAGCTGGTAAAGCATTATTTCTGGGTATGGCTGTGATGGTGTTTCCAGAAGAGATTAACAGTTGAATCTGTAGAATACTGTCCTGACCAGTGCAGATGGGCATTATTCATTCAATCCTTTGAAGGCCTGAATAAAGCAACGTGGCAGAGAAACTAAATAGACATTTTTCTAAAGAAGACATCAAAATGGCCAACAGGTACATGAAAAGATGCTCAACATCACTAATCACCAGGAAAACCCATATCAAAACCATAATGACATATCACCTCATATCTGTTAGAATGGCTATCATTAAGCAGACAAGAAATAACCAGCGTTGATAACCATTTGGAGAAAAGGGAAACTTCGTGCCCTGTTGATGGGAATATAAACTGGTTTAGCCACTGTGGAAATCAGTATGGAGGTTCCTTAAGAAATAAAATACAAGGGGCACCTGGGTGGCTCAGTCATTAAGCATCTGCCTTTGGCTCAGGTCATGATCCCAGGGTCCTGAGATCAAGCCCTACATCGGGCTCCCTGCTCCGCGGGAAGCCTGCTTCTCCCTCTCCCACTCCCCCTCCTGCTTATGTTCCCTCTCTTGCTATCTCTCTCTCTGTCAAAATAAATAAATAAAATCTTTTAAAAAATAAATAAATAAAAATAAAATAAAATACAAGGGTGCCTGCATGGCTCGGTCGGTTAAGCGTCGGCTCAGGTCATGATCTCGGTGTCCTGGGATTGAGTCCCATATCCGGCCCCCTGCTTAGCGGGGAGTCTGCTTCTCCCGCTCCTTCTCCCTTTGCCCCTGCTCGTGCTCTCTCTCTCTCTCTTTCTTTCTCTTTCTCTCTCAAATAAATAAATAAAATCTTTAAAAAAAATAATAAAAAATACAGCTATCATATGATCCAGCAATCCTACTTCTGGATATATACCTGAAAGAAATTAAAATAGGATATTGAAAAAAAAAATAGGATATTGAAGAGATAACTGCACTCCTGTGTTTATTGCAGCGTTATTCACGATGGCCAGGATAGAGAAAAAACCTAAGTGCCCATCAATGGACGAATGGATAAAAAAGACGTGGCATATATATATATATACACACACACATATATAGAATATATAAAAAACTATATACATATATATATACACACACATACATATACACATATATACAATGGAATATTAGTCAGCAATAAGAAAGAAGGAAATCCTGTTATTTGTGACAACATGGATGGACCTTGAGGGCATTATGTTTAATGAGATAAACCAGACAGAGAAAGACAAATATTATATGATATCGCCTGTATGTGGAATCTAAAAAAGCTGAACTCATAGAAATACTAGAATAGTGGTTACCAGAGGTTGAGGGGTGGAGGGATTGGGAAGATGTTAAAGGATACAAACTTGCAACTAGAAGATGTTAAAGGATACAAACTTGCAACATCTTCTAGTTGTGCAATCTAATGCACAACATAGTGATTATAGTCAACAATACCACATTGTATACTTCAAAATTGCTAAGAAGCTATATCTTAAACGTTCTTACCACAAAAGAGAAATGGCAATTATGTGACATAACAGAGGTGTTAGTTAAAGCTAGGGTGGTGATTATATTGCCATATATAAATGTATCAAAGCAACAAATTGTATACCTTAAAATTATAAAATGTTATATGTCAAATACATCTGAGTAAAAAGTTAATTTTTTTGAAGTCAGGAAAGGATGAATTTGCTCTTTTACTTTAGCTGGGACATCCATCCTTGCCTGCCCTTGGACGTCAGAGCTGCTGGTTCTTGGCCCTTCAGTTGGTTGCTCAGTCAGAAACTGGAGCTAGTTCCCTTATCTCTGCCCAGCTCAGAAATGGCAGTGATGACTTTTGAAGGCCATGGTGTTGAAAAAGTTTATGACTTGCTGCATCCACAAAGACAGTGGCAATTTTATAATGTTCAATCTGGGAAAGTGCAATGAGATACAAAAATTACTAGAACGAATAAGCAAAAGCCTTGCTTATGATATTTTCCCGGAAAGGCGATGTTTCCAGATGTTAGTTGAATTGCCTCATATCATTATAAGCATAGAATGAAATTCTGGTATATCATTAGACCATGTGTTCTTCCACTGGTTAGTTCCCTTTTTATTAGATGAGATCCCGGGAAACATAGCAGATGCTGGAAAGTATCTCTGATAGTTTCTGAAACCCTGGAAACAGAGTGGGAATCTAGTTTTCAGTGATAAACAGGTTTGTTTCACAGGGTCGCAAGAATGTGTCTCCTCCTCACCAAGTACATTCCATCATTTAAGCGTGCTATGGTGTTTTGTCACATCATTTCCCCATCAATATCAGCAGATGTAATGTCATCTAATTCTACTCTCTCAGCTGTTATCTATAGTACCTAAGCTAACAATTTTGTTCTTGAGCTTCCTAAAGTGTGTGAAGGGTTC